AAATTTTTTTTTTTAATATATAATAAATATTAAGTTATTATATTTTAATATTATTACGTATAATCTGTAACTAATACAGTAAAAACTCAGTCTAAAAAAAATTAGTTAATTAGTTTAATAAAAAAAAAATTAATTAATTAATAATAAGTGAGCTTAAATTTTATTTATTTATTTTTGTCGTTGTAAATCGTTTTTCCCCTCCCCCCTTTTTTTCTCTTTAAATTAATCAAAATAAAAAAAGCTAAAAAAATGTTTTTAATGCAGGCTTGCTTATTTATTATTATTATTTTTTTTAAAAATTATTCGTTTCGTATTTTTAATTAATAATAATAATAATAATAATAATATCGTGTTATTAAAACAACTACATAAAACTATTTAATTATTATTAATTTATTTAATTTTTTGTTAATATATATATATATAAATAAAAGCAAGAAGCATACTTTATTTATTTTGTTCCAAGGCCCCGCATTTAAAATAAGCTTAAGCATTATTAATTATTATAAATAAATAATAAATTATTATTATTATTATTTTTTTTTTTATTTAAACTTAAGCCGGTAACAAAATTTTTAAATAAATAAATAAATAAATTGATTTTACATAAGTTAAAAACTTTTGAATGATTAATTAATTAATTTTAACTCGCCTAATAAAAATAAATAAATAATTAACTTGATTAATAATAATAACAAAATTATTTTTTAATAATAATATTTATTAAAATGCAAAATTTTTCAAAAAAAAATTATTAATAATAATTTATTAATATTTTTTTTTAGGCAAACGATTCGATGTTAAAGAAAAATTTTATTTTCACTTCTCACTAATTCGATATTTTTTGTATATTTAAATAATTAAATTATTAATAAATAAATAATAAGGAATGTTTAAATTTTTTTTACTAATACGAACCGCAAAACTTTGGTAAAAATTTTACCAAAAACTCTTCTAGTTTATCTAAAAATTTTAAACTTATATAAAAAAAAAAAAAAAGAAATCGAACTGAAGCAAGCAATATTAATAATAATAATACAACCGAAGATAAATTAAATTTAATCATTATTAATGAAAACGTTATTTAATTAAAATAATTTAATCTACCTGAAAAGCGCTACCTTTTTTTTTTTTTAGTGACTACCTATTATTTTTTATGTATGTAGTATATATATATACGTTTTGTTTCAATTTTATTTAATGATAAAATGTAATACGAACCAACTAAGAAGAAGGACTTTGTCTCCTTTCGAGGTCTTTAGCAACATCATCCACGGAAATCAACATTTCAATAGGAATGCAACCGAGTTCACCTCCTGTAGCTCCTTCTGGCTTGGTTCCCCACGATGGTTTCGATTCTTTTGCTTTTGACGTATCAGGTACTTTACCTCCTTGAATTGCTCTTTTTTCTTTGAGTTTTAATGAAAATATGGCAACGCTCCGAGCTCTTTTCATTAGTGATCTTTTAATGCGTTGTTTTTTTGCAGCGATTTCAGCATCATCAGGAAGTTTTGATGAAGAAGATAAACTGGAAGAGGTAGATTCGGGTGCAGATTCCGAAACTGGGGTGGTTGAAGAACTTGATTTCGATTCTTTTTCTAATATGGTGAGTGTATCGGATTTTCTTTCTTTTTCGGAATTGAAGCGAAATTTAGATCTAGACCAAGGAGGCGCGGATCGTAATAAATCAGAATCGGACGATGATGAATCTTTAGGAATGCAATCAGTGCTCCGATACGATGATAAACCTTTGTTTCCTTTAGATCCCACTTCGGGTTCGCTAGTTTTTCTAGTCTTATCCAAAGCAAATCGTCTCATCCAGTCGGCATTAGCGTGAGAACCTATTGTTAAATTGTAGGCGCTTTCTTCGGAAGTCAACCAATGATTACCTAATTTTAAATTCATTTTTTTCGATAAATCTGGAGTTAATGGGGTTCTTAGAGCGGCAACACTTCCTGAAATATGTTTTTTGAACTCTTTAGGTATCGGTTTTATCTCTTGCTTAAGTTCTTTAAAATTAAGTAAATTTTGTTTCTTCGTTTCCACCGATTCGGTTCCTTTGGGTGCTTCTTTTTTTGCAGCAGGAGAAACCACAAATCTAAAACATGATCCATAAATTCACTTCTCATTGTTTAAAATAAATTATAATATCATTTAAAAAAAAAAAAGAGTTAAAAATTACTCAAAAATCATTTACAATTCGTAAATTAATATTAAATTGTAAAATAAGAAAAACTTTTTATTTTTTAAAATATATTTGTAAATAAAAATTCTGCTTTTATTATTTGACTTCGGTTTAATTATTTCGTAATAACTTTAAAATGCAATTTATTTAGGCCCAAAAACGCCTATTAATAATAAATAAATTTAATTAATTTATTTTGCTTTAATTTGATTAATGATTTGAAAGCAACTACCAGTCGCCTTCTGCCGGCAATATACCCCCTCACGTATTATTACAGTATTCAATTTCGATTTTACCTTCCGATTACTAACCCGGTGCCTTCTTGAACCGATGATGTACAGGAGCAAGCAGCCTGACGGCGAGCAAATTCAACTTTGGCCATTTCGGTAGCAACCCATTCGGGTAAATCGGGTATTGAATTACTTATTAAATACCGCAAAATAAGCATGACATGCTCAAGCGCTACTATCAACAAAATCGTTTGAGTAGTAGACATTTCGGGAAACATTCTATGAACTTGGCCAGATAAGCCGATCAGAGCGCAATTGACTAACACTGCTATTAAACCCATTATCTGCATTGCGTTCTACAAAATTTTTGAAATTGAAAGAAAAATGAAGCAAATAATTAGCCAATTGCATTTTGATTAAAAAAAAAAAAATCAAAAACATACTTACCTGCCAACAACCAATATCAGGCACTCTTTGTCCAAAAGGTCGTTGAAATATAAAACACAATTTGAAAGCATCGCTTCTTATTTCTATTAAATTATTTATAAGAGCACAAAAAGCAGCCATGGGAAACGCAGAAGAGAATAAAACTACGTAACCCATTTGAATAAACATTTCTAAATGATCTTCAAATGTTCCATCGTACTAAAATTAAAAAAATAAACAATGTCAGATGTTTAAATTTTAATAATTTAAATATATTAAATTTTATTTGTAAACTATTAGCACCTTAAATAACGTGCTTTCAAGCTCTGCCTGACTGATATTTCTATTTCCCGATGCTTTTTGATCTTGACTTTTCGAACTGATATTTTCAACGTTTTGTTCTTCTTCACTAGGAGGAAATTCTTTGACTTCCGAAGGACTAAGTGCACCAAACAAATCAAAACTTAACTTGGCGAGTCTGATCTGCTCAAGAGATACGGTAATGCAGATTCTTTAATATTTCCTATAACTTGTCGTGTAATTAGAAGTGCCGCTAATTGCTGAAAACCACAAAAAAACCGTTACTATCAAAACTTCAAAAAAAAATGAAAAGTGTCACCAAGTAATTTTTCCTAATCGAAAATATCTTACTTCTTTTAACTTTTCTTGATCCTGAAGATAAAAGGCGATGTAAAATAAAGACAAAAATGAATTTACGAACTGAAACTGAAAAAGGAAAAACAAATTTAATATATTCAAATATTAAAAAAAAAATTAATTGGGACGAAAATAATACAAAAAATAAATCAAACAATAAGTGAAAATGTAAATTGTAAACAAAATCGACTAAAATAAAACAAAAATAAAATTCAATAACGTGTCGGCTTTTTATTTGAAGCTACACAACTTTTTGGAAATTTATATACACAGGAAGCCAATAAGCTAAACATGTCAAAAATAAATTTTGCAAAATAATAATACTAAGATAAATTTAAAAAATTGATTGTATGTATGTGTGATGATTTATTAATTAATGCAAAAACTTTACCCAAAAATTACAAATAAAAATTATAATTGCACTCTACTATATAATAAAAAATTATAAAATTATAATGAGTTTATACGATGCACTCAAGATATTGTGAAAATCATGCCGAAAAAAAATACATAATGAAATTTTATCAAATTATTAAAATACAAACCAGAGCTACTTTGACGATAAGATGATTTTCAAAATCTGTGTCTAGTCGATAGTTTTCTATTAATAAAAAAAAGGAAATTTAGGTAGAAATGGTTAAATGAATATGTAAAAATTTGTACTTAAAGTAACTTTTTAGGTATCTATACAACAAACTGTCTTTCATAGTCGAAATTATTAACTATTGTGTGAAAAATTTTTAAATGCAGTTTTCTTACGGATTTTACCTAACACATGTATTATTGAAAATTTGTATGTTTCTTTTTTTTTTTTTTTTTCCAAGTTTTTTTTTAAAAATCGACTACATTGAAAATAGTAAAACAAAGCCTAATAATATAAATTCAATCAAAATAAAAAAATTAAATAATAATAATAATAATTTAAATTTACCCATATCGTTAAGCCAACGAGCAACTTTATAATAAGCTTCATCAAAAAATGTTATGACGATGGCTAGTAATATTTTTGGAAAATAACTTAAAAAAAATGGAAAACCCTTCTTGTGTAATATTCCATCCCACCAATCCTGTAAAATAATTTCACGACATTTAGAATATTCACCCCAAATTAATATTTTGTCAATTATTCGTTTAATTAAATAAACAGGATTATTTTTACCTGAAGTTGAAGAATAATAATCATTGTTATGAAAACAATAATTAAGCAAATTATCATTATAGGAATTGTGACAAAATAACGAAAAACGTATCTTTTCCAAGACGGATAAGTCGGTTCAAGACGATTCGTAACAGCGCTTACTTCTAAAGGCCCCTACAAAAAAAAAAATAAACCTTTAATTTTTTTTTTAAAATAAAAAATTTAAAAACGAGTTAATTTTTAATTGTGAACTAAAGACTTTACCGTAAAAAATGGCCGCGGCTCCATAAGTAAATCGTTTCTCTGATCTAAAGTTCCCCATTTATAAGCTAAACTGGCACTATACCTTTTCCATGCTTCCAAATATATACTAGTCCACAAAACATTAAATAAAGAAAAGAGTACGTATAAAACATCCTCGGTAGCTTGATCTCCCCTACAAAAACCAATCTAAAAAAAAAAAAAAATTTGTTAGGTTAGTAATAATTTCAATAAAATTTTTTTTAACGAATTATTATTATTATTCTTACCCAAAATAAAAAACCAACAATAGCAGGCACAATAAGAGCCATGGTATAATGGCCCAACCAAGCAAAATACATGGCTATCTGCACACCAAAGTAGTTGCAAATATCATCTAAAATATTTAAAAATAATAATTAAATTTTAAACTTTGGTTTATTTGAAATTTAATACTTAATAATACAATTTAAAGGATAAGTTTAAAAATTACCTAAAGGTTGTTGCTTGAAAAAAGCCTGAACCCAAGTTTTTTGTAGGTTTTTCAATGTAGGAAGTTCATGTAATGGAAAAATTTGAGATATTACACCAGCTGTAAGAAATTTTGGAACTATGGCTTGGCCTTCATTAAACTGAACACCAGCAGGTTTTTCTTCAACGTCATTAGCATCTAAAAAAAATTATAACATGAACGTTTATGTAAAAATTAATCATGTTTTCAATATGGCTAACAATCACATAATTAATTACACTTTAAAAATAATAACTGCCTTTTTATTTTAATTTCCTTTTTTTTTTTTTTTTTTATTAAATACAAAGATATTTTTGTTGAAAGTTATCATATAAATATTTTCAAAAATTAAATAAAGATTTAATAATCGGCCAACCTTAAATTAAAGCAAAATCACGAATAGATAATTACATTTAAATATTAATAGTTTTATTTAAAAATTAAATTTGAATAAACATACTTGCTCTCAAATTCTGTAAAAGATTCAAAATTAACCATTGCCTCTCTTGAGTTGAAAAAAAGTTATTTTTATCTTCAATTATTTCAAAACACAAAATATCTTTTTCAACAAATTCTTTTAAACCACCTCCATATTCTTTTTTAAGAGGCTTTGGAAGATGATATTGCTCAGCGGCTTTTAATAATCTGTAAGAAAAAAAAAATTTTTGTTTTAAAAATGTTAATTTATATTGTAATATTTTGAATAATAATGTTTGTACACTTTGTAAGGAGCAGTTAAGTGAAATCCATAGCTATCAGAGGAAGAATGATGACGAACATGGACAATCAAGCCAGGAGCACCACTTTTCAATCGTGATAATAACCACATAAGAATAGAATCTGAAGTCGATGAAGGAAATAAAAGAACAACATCACATTCCTAAAATACAACAAATCAATTAATACCTTAATTAAGCCTAAAATTATCTAATAACTGTAGTCTTCATGTATTTCTTTAGTATTCTAAAATTTTAACAATTTTTATTGTTTATTTTACTTGAGAATAATAATAAAATGTATGAACAACCCAAACTATAACTATATTTACCCTAGTGGGCACCATTTGAATCCATAACTTTCTCGGTGTCATCAAGTGCCCAGTGCATGGAATTTTTTTCCTCAATAATTTTGAGGCTGCATGTATTTAAAAATTTTAATTTAAAAATTACAATAAAACTACTTGCAATAATTTAGTTAATAAAAAAAATTTATTAATTTAAAAAAAAATAATTGTTAGTAATTTTAATAATTTTTTTTTTTTGATAAAAATAAATTAAATGTACATTAAAGTAAAAAATTAAAAATTTGCCAGTGTGTAAAAAATACATAATAAGAAAAACATAAGAAATTATAAGTAATTGAGAGAAATTTTTTAATATCATTATTAAATTATGATGTAATTAAAAAAAAAAAAAAAAAAAAATTTTTTTAACTTGCCTGTATCCAATTTCTCTTTTGCTGAGGAAATTATTTTCCTTCTGCGTATAACATTTTCATTTTCATTTTCGTTTTCTTCCATTTTTGAATTGACCAAAAATTGGCCAATATTATATTAATCTGGTTTGAAATATTTCATACACTAAAATTTTTTTTAAAAATCATTATTATTACTTTGTTAAAAAAATTAATACAAATGCACAAAATCAAAGACTTCATAAAATAATAAAGATAATCAGATATTTTTAGCTTTTTTTCTAAACGTTTTGAAAAATAAAAATAAAAATCCATATATAAAACAGTTAAATATTAATCGTATTAAGTATTTTTTTTTAATATTGCAAAACCTTATTCATAATTACACCGGAAAAAATAAAAATAAATAATATCTAAAATGAAATAAATGTTACCTTACCTTTGCAGTTCACATCAAAGTAAATACAACATGGCTACTTCTTCAAATTAAAATTTATTTACATTAATAATTCATAGATGGATGATTAGATTAAGTTCATGATGCAATATGAAAAATTCATTTTAATTATTTTTAATAAAAAAAAACCGTTGCAGTTATTTTATATTGTTTTATTTTAAAAGTTCTTTGGTTATTAAAGCTATTTTAGTAAGAAGCCTTGATTTTGGCGGGAATAATCTCAATATATTTTTATAAATATTTATAGAGATTATCGAAATTAATAACTGAAGTATGATTTTTTTCTATTATTGTAATCTGCCCGTTAATCCGTTTAAAATTTTAGTATCGTAATTAATTATATTATATATTATAATTTTAACAATGTAATTGATAATTAATCAAGATCTAATTTAAAAATTTCAAATTTTTCTCTATAATGAATGATTTGTATTTACTACAAATTTCTAACAGAAGTTCAAAATAGAACATATATATTTTCCATAAACAAAAAAATATTCAGGGAAAAGAAATTTTTTGGCAAACCATATTAATTAATTAAAATTTAAAAAAGGAAAATGTAATTAAAAATCAATCAATCACATTGAAAATAGCATTAAACATAAAAAAAAATTGGCATTTTATTTAATACTTTTTACAAATAAATTATCAAAATCATAAAAAGGTAATTGCAAAATGTGTTTCTTCTTTTCATAAAAGGTATACGACTTGGATTTACAAAATTTAGAAGATTTAAAATCAAAAGGAAGTGAAAATTATTTAGTCTTAATAATCAGTTTTCTTCATCTTCGATTTTAGGTGCAAGATAAAACCTCATGTAACCAAAATCAGCAATGCCATATTCCAACATTAATGGTACATCATGACTCATGGATAATTTAACCTACGACAATTAATATATTTTTTTAAAATTTATAAATAAATATTGTAATAAAATGAGTAAATACCATCATACCTGATTTGATAATGGTGATGCCTTGGTAAATTTATTTAGGTACTGGCAAGAAAATGTTAAGCTTACAGCTTCTTGTTTTTCAATTATTACTGCCTCTTCTTCTTTATCAATGTTAGCAGTCTGTACGAGTTTAATGTTGGCTAAAAAAAGTTTATGTGAATATATTAAAAATAATAAATCAAAATATATTATAAGTTATTTTAAGATTTTGATTTTATAAAATTTTTTTTTCAATAAAGGTTGGCATAATATAATACATAATAAATACCTGAGCCAATGTCTCCCGAAGAACTAAATTGAATACCATCTTTGGTGCATGTTATACCAATACTTTCCCCAAACTGACTTAAGTCTCTGCATATTCTAGCAAATTCCATTGTTGGCATTTTAACCACACAAGCATATTCAGTATCCTAAACATAAAGCAAACAATAAAATACAAATAAAGTTATATAATTGCAAAATATTCTTTTTTAAATAAATAAAGAAAATAAATTTTCTTTCATTTACTAACAGGAATTCCTAAATGCTCTTGATCTAAATTCATCAATTTCATTTCATAATCTGAAACTTTTTCCTGATGTTCTGACTCGAACACAAAAGTGACAGTGTCAGGATTATCGAGAGCTCTGATTGTCACTACATCATCTACTCCAGCACATTTTAAAATTTTAACTAAACTGAAATTAAAATAAAATTAATTAGAGGGTAAATATCTACAAATTAATACTAAAATTTAACTAGAAACATCGGTACTACTATACTATAGACATCAGTATTACTTATTTGACAAATTAGATTAAATAGAATGCATTAAACTTAATATTACCTTCCAATATTCATTCCCATACTCATATTTCTATCGCATCTGTATTTATCAAAACCATCACATTTTAAGTTAAGGGAAACTAAGGAAACATGGGAACTGTCCATAGCTTGGAGTTGGATTCCAGCATCTGAACAATCAAAACTCGCCTCATTAAGGAGTTCTTTAATTGCATCTAAAACCTTTTTTAAAATAGCACTTTTAGCTAATCTTGCTTCAAACATGGTTAATTATTTGATTTAAAAAATAATATAAAATAAAATAATTTTATTTGGCAATTGCAATTTCACTGAAGAGCAACAAACCCAGCAACAACAGCTTAACTTGGCGCCAGAACAAAAAGTCTACCAACTTATTTTTTACAAATAATAAGTTAAGAAAATGGCGGAAAGTTTTAAATGTAAAGAAAAAAAAAATAGGATTGATGTTCGTTTGGGGTATTTTATTTAAAAAACAACTAAATTCACTGCAATAATTTATTATTTTACAAAAATATTGTTTCAATTTTATTTTAGGTATTCCAATATAAATTAGAACACATTTCTTTAATTCTTGATACGGTACGTTTAAAAGCAAACACTTCTTCTGATCCAGAAAATAAGCTGGCTTTTGAGTTTTCCTGTAAAATAATATTTTTTTTTTCCTTAATAATTATGCAATGGAAAAAAACAAGAATTCTTTTAAGAACTTTTATAATTGTTAATTAAAAATTTATTGTTATTTACTCGAAATAAAACATTAAATTAAAAACGTAACATAAAATAAACATTACATATTTACTGTGTCATTTTCTAAATTAAGATCATCCATTACTAATCTACTATAGTCTTCATTTACTGAATTTTTATTTGATACAGAGAATAAATTTTTTGGTTCGTCAGCTGCAGACATCATAATTTTTACCTGCTCAAAACATGTTGATATTATTTTCAAAAGTATTTTTTAATTTTGTACAAACAAAAAAAAAATTACTTTATTGTCATATAGTGTATCAATCAAATGAATAAATCTTCTTGCTTGATTTCTTTCTGTTAAATCCATTTTGGGAACATCTTTGATTAAAATGGTCTTAAATTCTTTGGCTATTCGAATATAATCTGCAGAAGCTAACGGCTAAAGAGTAGTTTTTTTAAATAAAACAAAATTTTATAAGTAGGCTATTCTTTTTTATTGTATAATTTTTTTTTTTTGACATTTTAAAAACTTACTCTTTCGCATAGTTCTTCGAAAGACGCGTATAACACCTCACCGCAAGTGTTAGGAAATACAACAGAATGCCCTAATACAGTTATTTCTTTAGGCTCTACTCCTTTATTTTGTTTTTGACAAAGTTCTTTAAAAGCATTATCCATAATCATTTGAGTACCGGGTTCTTTATTTCTTAAAGAAAAAAAAAAAAATTTTTATTATTTATCCTACAAATACTTAATAATTGGATTTTTAAAATGAGTCATAGAGTAATAGTTTAGTAATAAAGTTACCAACATTAAATATCTTTCTTGCTTGTCTCCAGCAATAGATAGCCTAAAATCTTTTCCAAATATTTCTATTACGTCGCAGTGTTTTTTTAATATTGGAATAAAAGGTAGAAAATTTACTCTTTGCAATCCATTTTTATATAAATCGTCAGGCGCACGATTAGATGTAGCTACCATGACCATACCGTAATTAAACATTTCAGTAAAAATTCGTTTTAATATCATGGCGTCTGCTATATCCGTTACCTAGAAATAGGAATCTATTACAATTTTACATTAACACGATAAATTTATTTCGAAATTCTAACCTGAAATTCATCAAAACATAATAACCAAGCGTGGCTAACTAATTGTTTTGCTACCGGCCTAATGGGATCAAAAGATTTATTTCTATAAATTTGTGATAAACTTGATGTTGACTTGTGTTCTTTTTTTTTTAGTTGATGAATTCGAGCATGGACATCAGTCATAAAATCGTTAAAATGAACCCGTCGTTTATAAAATCCCTAAAAAATTTTCAAATAATACAAACTTCACATCATTTCACAATTAATTCAACTTTAAAAAAGTTAACTTTACTTTAACACTTTCATAAAAAATATCCATGAGCATGGTTTTTCCTGCACCTACAGACCCATGAATATATACCCCTTTTGGAGGTCTTAAATTTTTTATTTTTCCCGGGGAATAATGTTTTAAATTTTCATATAACTCTTGTAATTTATTGATTACGATCAATTGATTTGGATCAGGTTTTATTTGACCATTTGAAATTTTTTCCTTAACAACATAAGCAGGACCGTCATGAAATCGACTCTTGGATATCAAAAACCATAAATGATAAAGTAATCGGTTCTTTCTAATATTTCTACTTAAAAAATTTTTAAAACATCAATCGCTGTTATTCAAAATTTCAAAATTAAAATAATAAAGAATAATTACTTATAAATCATTGTGAAATAAAGTATTTTTTAAAATTACGGTAAATTACGGATTCCCTGGATTTGTTTAGAAAATTTTTATATTTCTGAAAAAAAAAATAATTAATTTTAACTAATAATTTATGACTTCTTTCTAAAACCATTTTAAAAATTAAAAATATTAAGATTTTTGTATCATGTTTAAAAGCAAAATATGTGATTTTGTTTCAAAACATCGAAAATTAAATACAAACATTTGTGCCAACTCTTTAAAATGCCTAAATGAAAAAAAAAAAACAATAACAATAACAAATAAAAATTTTTTAATTTTAATCTTAAAATTATGGCAGCGAATTTTTTGCTTGTGTGAAGTACTATTTGAAAAATTCCCATAACTAAATAGGTATGCACCTTTAAATTATTTCTTGAAAAGGTTAATTACGTATCGTCCAAACTTTTGATAAATATTATTGCACCACCAACGTTTAGTTATAACGAGAAAAAATAGTGTTTAAAAACAATTTTAACAAAAAAATTTTTAAAAACACGATTTTTAATAAATAAAAAATATCACAATATTATTCAATTATAAAAATTATTTTCTCCAATATTGGGCTAATTTGTGAAAATGTTCAACTAATGCCGGCATTACAGCAGACACGCTCAAGTCTAATAAATTTTGCATGTAATGAACGGCTTCTTCATCGGTTAAATCTAATCTAAATTTGTCTTGAACTTTTTTAACTGCTTTATCCGGTTCAAGAGCAATATCAGGCACAGAAGCATCAACCATTAAAGAAAACAAATTTAGCATTAAATTAGCATGTCTAAAAAAACAAAAACGAAAAGAAAATTAATTTTAAAAAAATTTAAAATGACCCAAGAATTTTCATAAATAATAAATAACCTTCTCAAATGTAAAAAAGCAGTGTAACACTGTTTTCTAAATTGTTGATAATGTTCAGAATTTTCTCCTCCCATTGCGTCCACCATTTCTTTACTCAACTTCATGGGTGGAGGCATCGGTTTTGGATCGCGACCGAGAATATACCCGAAATCAATGTGAAACAATTTACCATCTTTGGTTAGAAGCAAATTGTCAAAGTGACGATCGCCGACTCCGAGAAGGTAAGTAATGACACAATAACCCGCTAAAAAATTTTTTTACAATTAAGAAACACCTTTCGAAATCCTCCATTTCATCATAACGGAAAACACTCACCGCAACTCCTAACGTAAGAATCGACAACTTCGCTAGAGATACCGTAGGGTCCTGTTGAGTTGGGATGATGTTTTCGAAAATAATTGTGTATACTTCCTTCCGATTCCAAAACTTCCGCTACTGTCGTGGACTCGATAAATTGCAAAAAACCTGTTTCGACAAAAAATGAATTTAAAATGCTGCTGTCTCGGTAGTTATGATGATACCTTCTTAATTTCTTTCTTTTCTTACCGTGCTTCGCACTGGTAGCTAGAACTCTGTAAGGAGTTAATTTCAAGTCTAAATTTTCACTTCTCAGTAACTTATCCATTAGAGTTATCATTTGTAATATAAGTTGGTCCTGTCGTAAATCGTCACCGTATTTAAAAATGGCCACGTATTCTTTATTGTCATCGGTCAAAAAAGTTAACCGAGATGGCATGAGCGCGGATTTAAATAAAGATGCCCTAATTATTAATTAAAGTGATTAATTAAATTAATTTTTAAAAACGAGCATTTTTATAAATGAGAACGAAAACTTACTTTTCTGGAATGATTCCTTTTATTAAAACTTGTGGATCCAAAGGAAAAAGAAGAGGTTCGAAATTAGTAAAATTAAATTTTAACGCTTCGGGATCGGACAAAAGATACTGCAATCTTTCCGTTTTTTTTTTCCTGTTTCCGCTTTCTCTGGCTACAGTCTAAAAATGCAAAATTTCATGTCGAATAATAAAGAACAATTTTATTGAAGTTTATTATTTTTAATAAAATGCTAAAAAATTTTAATATACCTTGACCAGTTGAACAAGTTTGTTTATAAAATTTTGTTGCCTTTGCAAATATTGTCTTCTTTTTTTCAATTCACCGTTTCCTTTCATGAGTTTTTCAGAAAATAATTTCATAACCGTCATGTACATTTCTCTTACTTTACTATCTTGCTTTCCGTTATTTTCTTGTTCCTCACACTCTATCACTAAATACCTGAAAATAAAAAATTAATTTCATAAAAAAAAATTAAAGTCATTATTATGAAAAACGTTGTTTAATGTTTACCAATAAAAATAATTAGCTAAAGTTGTATTTTTGGATGCTCTATCAATCAAAAACGAAGCTAAATCACAATTTTCTTCTCCGAAATCTGTTTTATTTTGTTCTTCGCCATCGTTGGAATATGAAAATTCATTTAATTCCGTATTGTTTCCTTGAATATTATCATTAACGGTGTTGATAACGAGATGATTTTCACTGAAATAAAATTTAAAAAAAGGCCTTAATAATAATATTATTGGTTTTGGCATGAAGTATTTTTGTAGGATTTGAATCATTTTTATCATACCTTGAAACTTTTTCGTTTCGAGATACCAATGAATTATCATCATTTTTCGAAACCAACGAAGCAGCTTTAATGCACTCGAAATTTTCATATTTTAATGCCTGGACTAGTTGTAATAAATATAATAATAAATCTTCGTCGCATGCTTGTTTTAAACGAGTGACTGCATACTTTCTCACAACCGGATGTGTAAAATTGGGAGACAACAATTCTAATGCGTCTTCGACATCCATGGGGGCCCAGTGATTTAATAATTCAATTGCTTGACGATTTTCCGATGCTATCGACCAATTAACGCATTTTAAAAATTTCGTTAGAGCCTGTTATCAATCGAAAATATTGTGTAATAATTATCTTTTCTTTTTTTTTTGCAGATAGTATTCAAAATAAGCATTTGTTGAATAATCATTTATACCTTTTTTTGATTACTTAAATAAAATCTGAATTTCCAAACCAAATCTTGTTCCTCGACCGAAAGCTGAGTTGTAGGAGGATATCCAACGATTGTATTTAAAGCGTCTCTGACAATGGCATTGGGTTTTAAATCTCTATCTGATACACCCGAACGAATAGAACGAGCCAGTTTGTGGTGTTTGCTTTCGACTAAATTTTCCTGACAATTAAGAATTAATCATAATGCAGAAAATTTAATGGTAATGGCCAAAATGGTGACTAAAAAAAAGTACAGTTAAACATACTTGTAAAACTTCGTGATCGGGTATCGTAACGATATCAGCTTGTGGTTTGAACATGTAAATCTCATCGCCGTCATGCTCGTAATACACAATTGAATGCTTTAACAATGAAATTAATTAAATGAGTAATTTAAAAAAAAAATTTACAAATACAAAACAAACTTGAAAAAAATTATACACCATTTTCAATTAAAAAAAAAAAAGTTTGAGTAACGCCACATTGATTATGTAACATCCACACTGACCAAATTTCAATAATCCCCTCTGCGACTTTTTAAACAGGCGGCGATCACAAAAATTAAATACTTTAAATCTTTTTCATAGAAAAAATTTTAATAACTATTTTTTTACATATTGTTGCATTAAAAAATTAATTTAAAAAACTTTATAATTTAAATAAAATATTGTAAATAATAATTTATTTTTATTTAATTAGTTTTAAAGTATTCGACATATTAATTATGATTTAAATTGTTAAAAAACTTTTTCTCCAACATGCTGTAGCTATCAATAAATAAACTGTCTTAAATTTTGATAAAAACATATAATTTTTTTTTTTTTTTTACTTTACAAATAAATAAATAAAAAGAAAATAAAGAAAATGCTTTCTAAAAACTGAAATCAATTTCATAAAAATTTCATACAAAATGAATTTCTTATCAAAAGTAAACGAGTTTAATTTAAAATATATTAAATTACAAGTACTTACATATGCAGTTGTATACTACAGTTACATGTGGTTATTTATATTAAAAATCTTTTACAATAATATTAAAAGTATAAAAAAAAAAATAATAATAATTTTACTCACAGGAACTGAATTGACTTCGATAAAAGGAAATTCGATCATCAAATGAAAAAAATTTGAATTTTTTTTTTCCATTTCATTGATAACTTCTATTTCAAGAAATGCTAATCTATCTAACCAATCAACCACTGGCAGTTGGCCAATTTTATGTTTTTTAACCAGCTGAAAGTTAATAAAACATTTATAAGATACCACGATTGATTTAAAAAAAAAAAAAATTATCAAAAGCAAAATTTAAGATAAACAAGGTGCAGCACCTTTGCAAGCCTTTGAGTTTGAATTTTTCCATTATCTTTGGTTTTCCCAGGTGTTTGACTAGGGAAATTTCCATCAGCTTCACAGTTTGGCCAGACTTTGAGATCTATCATACCAGTCCTGAACACGCCATGTTTGCCAAATAATGATATTGTAGTCCCTCCAACCGGCTGAGTTTGAGAACATCCGATACAATCATAAATGGTTAAAGCTAATTGAGCATTTCTCGGCAAATCACTAAACAAAACTGGCAATGTAACCCATTCATTCCAACTAAAATAAAAACCAAAAAAAAATCTAAAAGTATCATATAAGTTTGAAAATTTTTCAAACTGATTATTTGTGATTTAACGACTTATTGAATAATAAGATATGGAAAAATGCAACAGTGGTCAAAAAAAATAGTTTAAAAATTTGTTTAATTAACAATTAGTTTTAAATTAAACAAAATTTTTTAATATTTATTCTGATCTAATTAAAGTTACCAAATAAAACTTAAAAATGATAATTTAATACCTACTTCCAACGTGTAGTAAATGGTTTGTAGCTTGTACACACTGGCAGAGCTAATGGTCTATTATCAGCAAAAACTTGGCACACCACTTTCAAATCTGCAGTTTCTTGTTGATAAAGTCCACAGAATTTGAGCATAGGATCTTCAAGGAGTTTATCAAATTGTTGTCTTTCTTTGTGTCCATCTAGAGTACCTCTATATGGGAAAATTTTTTTTTTTAAACAAAAATTTTCATTTCACAAAAAAGGAAATTTTTTCACATTACAGTATTTCAAAATTTGATTTCTTTGTTGTTTTAAATTAGAAACAAGAAAAAAAAGCTGAAATTCAATTTTTTCAATGCAAACCAGTAAAAAATTAATCTTTAATTCTAAAACATACGTTTAGCAAGAAATTGTATAGACTTACATTTTAACCCTAACGTTTACATCTAATTGGGACGAATATATGTAATAAAATTTATCACTGGAATCATCCATTTTTATAAGTGACGGTAAAATAAAAATAAAAACTTAAAATTTCATGTTAAATCCATTTTAAAAAAAGTTTTTTCTAAATCTGGGTACAAATCATGTCGAAGAACTTAAACAATACAAAATACGATTTGATGAATAAAAGTGATATTGTTATTCATTACTGCTATTCCACTTTCGACGACATATGACAGTTAAATATCTTTAATAAATACATAAAAACTTGAATGTAGTCCTATGGTAAATATAAAATTTAGACCTGATTTTTTTTTATATATTGATAACTCTATGGTAAGACTGGAACTGTAGCAAGTGCCTAATTTAATTATTAACTTGTTACGGATAAATCTGTTCTTTTGTGAATTAAAATCTACATTTCAGATGCCATTGACACTAAGTATACTATTATTACTTTTATTTATTTATTTTTTTTTAATTGAAATTATTTAATTTTTTATTGATTTCAAGGAAACCAATGTCTCAAACCAATATATATGTTTCGGCAGATTTTATCTGCTTTTTCTACTTTTCAAAGTTCGGAAGGAAGTATTCAAAATTTTATGACACTTGAAAAAAATCCTGTATGTTTTTTTAGTTAAAAACATTAAATTTCCTTTAAGTAATTTTCTTTTTTCCTTAATAATTCTTTTTTTTTTTTTTTTTTTAAGAGTAATCATTCGCAAAAAGACGTTGGACTCATTTATACTCTTCCTAATAATTTAGCATTGGATGTTTTATTTCAAAAAGGTTTGCCCAGTCAATACAGAGATGAATGTGAAACATTTAATGAAACACCAATTTTGATTAGGAAACCTGCTCTAGAAATAATAAATTATTTGAAAAATACTAATTTTAATTCGCCTATAAACAAATATGTTCTTTGTATCCTTTTAATGGTTAAATTGTATGGTATCGATTACAGATAATTACTATAAGGTTAAAATTAATTATTACAACATTCGATAATATTTAGAATCTTAATTTTATTGAAAAGATGGAAAAAAAGGAGGAGGAAAAGCATTCACTTTATATCACATAATTCATTATGCCAGTTTAAATGATTACCTTATAGTTCATGTGCCAAGAAGTAATTTAAAAAAAAAAAAAATTTTGATTTTTATTATTCCAGAAAAAATAAATGACTAATATCTAAAATTTATTTCAGTACAAGAATGGTATTTTAACAAAGTTGAAATAGAAAAATCTATAAACAGTAATTGTGTTTTTGATTTACCTATTAGGGGCTCACATTGGTTAAAACATTTTAAAAATCAAAATGAAAATATTATAAAAAAGTTAGATGTAAGAAAACAAAAAAAAAAAAAAAATTAATTAATTAAATGAAGTAGACGAGACTTTTGATTATTTTCAATTATTATTGTTTTTTAAATGTTACAGTTAAAGCTTAACAATGAATACAAGTGGAACATTCAAGAAATAAATTACAAAGGAGAAAGTTTGTTAAATTTAGTGAATTTTGGCATTAATAGGACAAAGTATTCTTGTGAAGTTATTAATGCTGTTTTTGAGGAAGCTAAACAACTGTCAAAAAATAACTGGTAAGGAAAAAAAATTTAAAATAATGTTAATAATAAAGGCATTTGTTTTATTATTATAAATTTAATATGTTTTTTAGAATGTAATTTTTGCTTTTTTTTAGCGTCAAAACATTAGTTGCTATGGAAGGATATAATTTATTATTTAATGCTGAACCTTGTTACAAACGTAGAAAAGGACAATGGAAACCAGAGGATATAAATTGCACTGAAGCTTTCAAAAATATAGCAAAAGCTGATTGGCATAATGGAGCTGTTATTTTGACTTGCACATCATTAGCTCGAGATAATACATTAAAATCTTATTTACCTGTGAATCTTTTAAAGACAAATGTAAGTGCTTAACGATAAATTTTAAAAGATATTTTAAATGTTCTCTACAAAAAATTTTAAATAAATTAAAATTATGTTTAGAAATAAAAAGTATTTTTTTTAAAAGAAGAATTAAACAAAATAATTATACTTTTTAATATGTGGTAACCTACAAGGTGTATGTTTGCATTGTATAGTTTTATACAACTATAATAGTTTTATAAGCTGCAAACAAAAGTCAAGTAATTAATTAACTTAATAATTTTAATTTATTTATTTTATTTCAGGGAATTGAGTTCTTGCATCCTTTTATACCCATTGAAGTACCACCTTTAAATGACAAAGAAATGATGAGTGTACTGGAATACTACAGATCGAAAAAATGGCTTTTGACTTCACAAGGAGATGAAGAATTAAAATTTTTATGCGCTGGAAATTATTATACGTTACGAAAACTATGTAGTCCTCTTTAATAATTTATTAATTACTAATTATGTTTTTATAATTTTTTAAATTCGTTAATAAAAATTTAATTAAAACAAAAAAAATTTTCAACCTTTTTCTTTTATTTATTTTTACATTGAAACAAAAAAAAAAAAAATGTAATAAAAAGTACGTAATATATATAATAAAAGTTAATAAATTTAAAGTAAAATTTTTTTTTGAATTCGTAATTTATCAAATTATAAGTTTAATTACGACCTAAATATTTGTAATAAATAAAATAATAATAAAAAAAAAAAAAATTTATTGATTTCTGCGCACTTCAGGCAAGTATAGAACAAGTAGTAAAAATAATAATTTTTTTTTTTTTTTTAATTCACATTCTTAACGGTTTTTTTCGGTAACGAATTAAACTTTTTAAATTTAAATTCGTTTAAAAATTTTTTAATTAATTTATTTTAAATTTTAAATTTCTATTAAAATAGAAAACTTTTTTTTTTTTTTAGTTTAAAAACAATTGAATAAATTTAGCAAGAGAAAAGAATTATTTTTTTTTTTTTTATACTTAGTAAAAATTTAAATGATCTAAAAAAAAAAAAATCTTACCCAAAAGTAGGTTGAATATCCAAAGATTCAGACGGTCCTGTTTTGAGTACTATAAAAATAACAACCGTTGATAGGTTCCAATAAAATTTTAAATTTGATATACCGCTATTATAATAATCGAATGAATTACGTTGAGATTCGTATTCAACATACAGGACTACCATCCTGGATGGATGACGGTTACTTAGCCCTTACAGGTTACTTTTACCCGCACCATAATACAAAACTAAAAACTAAAACTTGGTTCT